CCAACACACACACACACATACTCACACACACACGTGCGAACAATGTCGAACAAATTCATGTTTTATTATGCCATACGAGATAGCTGCCTAATCTGGAAACATGACCTCATTGGTCATGTGGGTGTACACCAGGAGTAGATAACTCTGGAGTTTCCCAACTTCAAAACAACAACAATGGAGAGCGAAGAAGAAGCAGAGATATTAGGTTTCCCTATCGAGGAGCCAAAGAATATGACCCACATCGTTCAAAGGTGAGTTCATTGTTCTGTAGATGAACTGAATAAGAAAACAATGGTCAGGTTTTATTTTATCAAGCCTAAGTACATCATTATTATGGTGATAACTCAGTAAAAACTAACGGGCAAGTGAGAAGAGCTGACTGGAGCTGGACAAGAAGAAAGAAGCCCTTTTCCCTTTCTTTCACTACTCTTAGGAGACTGGTCTCTCGTCTGTCTGTGCTAAATTAAATAGACTGCCGATGGCGCAGAGAAAAATATCTTTGATTAAAATGTAATTAAACGTCGACACATCAGTATACCTGGATAAATGACGCCTTTCAGCCCTATATAAAGGCTTTTATCCAGATCACCCCCATGCCAATGCTCATTTTGAATTATCCAGGTCTGGGAGAAAAGTTCGCTTCATTTTTAGAGCTGTGACCTAGATCTAATATCTAGATCTAGATTTCTAGACTCTTTCTTGCACTTCGACTTTTTAAAAAGAAAGTTTTAATTTGTTAAAATGAGGTCAAGGCTTGTGCACTCTCTGTTTTTGGCTATCTTCCAGGTCAGCACATTTAATTAGATTCACGTGTATACAAGATCCAGGTAATGAAGTAGTAGGTACTAACCCTGGTGGGTAGAGGCTAACCCTAGACCAGAGAGTCCAGTTCTTTGTTCTACATGGTCTCTATCCCAAAACCTTACTCTTGAGGTTATCATCCAAATCTAACACATGTGAGAATAAAATGTGTGTAGAAATCTGGCGCTTTTTCGGTAGTTCCCACCCCCCTTATTTGATAGAGCCTGACCTACATCTAGATCTATATACGTTTGATTCGCGGCAAGCTAAGATGTCAAACCTAACAACTGCAAAACATTAAATTGTGGTAAAATTCAGGGGGGCATGCCCCCCTGAAACCCCCTTACTCTTGGGGCCAAAACCGGCGAATAACAAATGCGGGGTGGGAACTACCGAAAAAGCGCCAGAAATCTGGTCTCTGGAAAATTGCCTCCTTTAATTTTTGACCTAGTAAATGTTCATTTTTGTACTTTGGTCTTAATCCGTGCCACTCTGGTGATAAGTGCTATCTGAAGTTGTGCAAGGCTGAGCTATTAGATTGTAATGTCATGTGAGAATCTAGTCTTTGCAGAAAATGAAAGTTCAGAAATGTTATGATGTGTTTCTTAGGAGACTACTGAGATTATCTCAGAAAGAAAAGAAATCGAGCGAGGTAGTACTTTGAAGAAGCCCATGTGGGCTGTTCGCTGATAAAAACAATCAGGGAAAGACAGAAGATGTAATTTCTGGGAAGGAATCGTTCTGGGATACTTGAATAGGCCTAGACATTAAAAAGGCCTTGAACATATTATATAATATAGTTTTAGCTGGCCAAATTGAAGGCAGAAGAGGCAAGGTTAGAACCAGAGCAACAGACTTGAAGAGCCAAACAGACGGGTGGCAGGAAAAAATTGGATAATAATGTATTCTCTCTCTCTCTCATATATATATATATATATATATATATAGAGAGAGAGAGAGAGAGAGAGAGAGAGAGAGAGAGAGGGAGAGAGAGAGAGATTATATATTTCTCGGTGTCTGTTCTTTCTTTCTTTCTTTTTGTCGTTTTGTCTGTTTGTCTGCCTGTCATCTCTTCTGATTTTTAATTTTCCTGAAACTACTTCTAATGTTTCTTTCAGTATGGATCTTTTTTTGTTCACGCTGTTCTGTATCAAGTGGCTGTGTATCATAATCGATGTGTGTGTGTGTGTGTCTGCATGCAGTTTTTTGTGGGAGAGAGAGAGAGAGAGAGAGAGAGATGTATGGTGCTGGTGTTCTTCGTATTGTTGTGTAGCGCAATGAGTATTTTCTTAGTGGAAATGCGCTTAATAAGTGAAATTTATTATTATTATTATTTTATCATTATTATTATATTATTATTATTATTATTATTATTATTATTATTAATATTATCATTATAATTATTATCATTATTGTATAATTGCTGTTCGTTAGTTGTTTATTTCTGCGCATTTTCTCCTGACCTGACTTTTGTTTTGTTTAATCGTCTGTCTATCAGGCCATGCAGCGTCGACGACAGTTTTGAACAAGTGGACATCATCCCTTCCAAATTACCGCCAGCTGGCCTTGCACTAGACACAGATGTACTCTTGACCTCTCGCACTGACCCCTTGACCCGTACCCAGTTCCAAGAAATGCTTGACCCAGACGGTCGACTTGTTTGTGAACATCAGCTGAGAAAAGCAGTGTTTCTAGGTAATGGCCGTATTGTGGGCCTGTATTTCTCTTCTTTTTTTTTTATTTCTCTCTCTTTCTCTCTCTCTCTCTCTCTCTCTCTCTCTCTCTGTCTGTCTGTCAGTCAGTTTGTCTGTCTGTCTGTCTCTTTCTTTTTGTGTTTTTTTGTCTGTCTGTCTGTCTGTCTGTCTGTCTGTCTGTCTGTCTGTCTGTCTGTCTGTCTGTCTGTCTGTCTGTCTGTCTGTCTGTCTCTCTCTCTCTCTCTCTCTCTCTCTCTCTCTCTCTCTCTGTCTCTCTCTCTCTCTCTCTCTCTCTCTCTCTCTCTCTCTCTCTCTCTCTCTCTCTCTCTCTCTCTCTCGTTGTACTTATCTTCCTCTTACTCTGTCACTTTGACACAATAAAATCATTTTTGAGACTCATTGCTTTGACTTTGTCTATCGGGGCTAACCCCTGCTGTATGTATACCCCTAGCAGTAAAAAAGGGAATCATCAGCATCAACAAGTACCAGATCAAAAACAAACATCAGCGAGATAGATGGGTAGTTTTTTTTCTCAGAAATCAAGACAAATTAACAAGCTTTAAGATGATAATGATACTGAAATAAAGTCCCGCACTGGAAAGGCACAGACTGCATTTATTTCTTTAAACAGGATTTGGAGGACCAGGGATATCTCACCACGAACAAAGCTTAGAATTTTCAACTCAAATGTGAAGTCAGTCTTGTTGTATGGATGTGAGACGTGGAACGCATCTTACACGTGCATAAAGAGGATCCAGGTTTTCTTAAACATGTGTCTGAGGAATCTATTGAGGATCAAATGGACAGACAGGATCACCAACGAGGAAGTATTTTAGAAGATCGAGATAGAGCCCAGTCAGAGATGAGGTGGGAAGAAGGTGTTAGCGATGGATCGGACACACTTTCAGGAAGTCAAGCAGCTGCATTATGAGGAAAGTGTTAGATTGGAACCCACAGGGTAAAAGATCAAGGGGAAGACCACATTGAACCTGGAGAAAGAGTCACAGAAACGGATATGTACAGAAAAGTGGAAAGACATGGAGTGACATCAAGCGACTAGCCCAGGATAGGGAAAGGTGGAAGGTGTTTGTTTGTGGCCTATATACTGATCCAGGGTGAGAACTTTGGCAATGATGATGATGAAGATGATACCAATAACTTCATACAGGACCTATTATGATAGATATGCCGAAAATTTGACGTGTTGCTGATTCCAACATGTCATGACACATTTTACTATTTGTGAGACGTGCTGATGAAATGAGTTACTTGTCGCACTCCAGAAATGGAGATATTGGCCAAAAATCAATATTAGGGTCAAATTTGTAGATTTTTTTCAAATTGATGCCATATTCTTTAAGTATAACATGCCTCTTATTATTTCATACCTATAAATTTTAAAGACCTTACCTATAGTATAAGCGTGATGTATCTATTTCCTTAGGGCTCGAATACGAGAAGTAACTCATTTTGTCAGCACGCTTCACATTTTATATATATTATATATAATTATTGAATTGTTTTTCCCTTCAGGCGGAGTGTGCCCGGAGATCCGTCGTGAAGTGTGGGCGTTTCTGTTTGGTCTCTACCCCTGCAGTTCCACAACCAGGTAGCGTAGTGTGCTTTGTGTTTGCTGAGAGTTACATGGATGCATGAAGATATGTGGGTGGTTGGCAAGTGCTCTGGTGTGGTTTGCTTCTTCTTTCCTATCTTAGCTCTACATCTATCATGGGTATCTCCCCTTATTCTTTTTTATGTTTGTTACTCTCTTGTAACACCTCAAATCTTCTGGCGCTCATATGACCTTATGCAGTTGCGAGCGCCGTAAAACATCTACTAAAACTAAAAGGCATGAAGATATGTGAATATAAATATGTTTACACACATTGCTTCCTGAAAAGCAGAGAATGTTTCTGAGTTATATTCTAGGGATTACTGAGGTAACAATATGCTACCTTAGACTGACAAAACTCTGATGATTTTGGCCGCTTGGCTTACTACGACCATGAGGTCAGAAACCAAATGCTCTATCTGCTCTATCAAAATCGTCAGAATATTCGGAGTCGTTATCAAGATATCCATAAAATTACATAAGAAAAAACTTGACATCTTGTGAAACTCAAAATTTTTAATGTCAAGTTTCTCAAAACTAAGTACTAAGTAATTCTAGGGTAACGAATAGTAGTGTTGTTTTAGTAGAGGTTTTACAGCGCTCGCAACTGCATAAGGTCATATGAATGCCAAGGGGTGGATGTCAACAGAGAAGTCCTTACACTTACAGGGAATCAGACTTACTCTGCTCACCTCTCTAGCTTCAACAGCACAAAGTCTGCTTCGACTATCAAGGCACCCCGGAAATAGCAGGTCACAAGAGTGTGACAAACATACCAAAAAAAGTAGAGGAAAATGACGATAGTAAGGATTAGGAAAGAAAAAGCAGCAGTTCCCTGTTGTAGATCAGGCACAGATATGAGCATGACGTTGTTGGATCAGCCAATTTACTATTCTACTGTGCGTTAGAATGAGAAATATCCCCCCTTTGGAAATTGCCTAAAGACACTTCAGTCAGTGGCACCGCCCCGCGGAATAGTAGTAAAGTGCTTAGAGTAGAGTATGCTGTAGAGTGTGGACATGCGCTATATGACTGCAAATATTATTTATTATCATTGTTATTAGGGGTTTCTTTTGTGGCTGTTTTTACTCAAATGGTAGTAGCTTCAAGTTACTTGAAAATATTATTGTTCAGGACAGACATGGCGTTTACAGGAGCAAATGTGTCACGACGCCGCGGAATCAGGCACTTGTCAGATTTTGGGCATGTTGAGTGATTGGTATGATCAGAATGCTGATTTATTTGCATTGCTTTCAATGAAATAAATATCCATTTATCTTGAATAGAATTCAAGATATTTGTGATTAAAGGAAGTGAGGTCGCCTGGTATCAGTGGTGAAATTAGCGAGAAAATGGCTGCCAAAGTTTGGTAACTCAACAGCTAAAGAGTCTTTGAAAGTTGACAAATGACATATTTTGTGCCTTTTATCAATGTTTTTCCAGTAAAATTCACTTGGAAACGGGTTATTATATGGATCTAAAAGAGATTAAGCCAAAAAATAAAAATTCGATAAAAATGTCCTATCTGGCGGGAAAATGCCTGTTTGCCTGATTTCATTGTTTTGACGAGCGCCTGATTTCACCATGCTGCCTTGCAAATAGTTTCAATAGTGCTGTAATAATTTTCTTTCTTCCCAACTTTTTGCACTGATGAAGAAAAGTGTTCTTAACAACACATGTGGTGTCACGGTTAGGTGTTTTACAGATCTAAATTGTGTCAATGGGGGCTTAAAAACACCTACATTAAATTAAAAGAATGTGTTCTATACTCTCACATTATGTTTCGCCATCTAGGGAGAGAGAAGCCATTCTGCTCGACTACATCGTACGCTACCACGAGATGAAATCACGATGGAAAACGCTCCTGGTCGTCAACTCCCCGCCCAACTGTACGTAACTTATTTATAACTGTACTCAACTGTCCTGTCGCTATATGGGTGTTAACTCTTTATCTCTGTGGGGGGTAATCCCACTATGTCGGGCCTTTTCTTTGGCACAAAATCTAAAAATGACAAAAAGTCACTAAATGGGTCATTAAATCAAAGTAAGTGAACATGTTTTAATAGTTTTTCATCTAATGAATGAACTCCCGATAAAAGAGTCCTGTTTTCGGCAATTGACGAAAAGTAATTTTGATGTCAAAGTCATCGTAAAGGAATGTGCCCGAGCCGCTGTCAGCTTGCTGTTGAGCGAGGATTTGCGCTATACAAATGCTATCTGTTATTATCATAAATGGACTAGACTTTTACTTTTTTCCTCCCCGTAACAGCGACGCCCTTAGAACAGTGCCTTACAGCACGGTACCTTCTGCCAGAGGAGTCCTCGCCCTCTCCGACCGCCACCACCACACAACCGGTACCCTCTCACCTCCCCTCCGACTCGACGCGCAGCCAGCCCTTGCACGATGCGGATGTCGACCAAGCCTTCCCAGCTGAAAACACCAACACAAAGAACGATGGTGGGTGGTTGGCGGGTGATCTGCTGTGATTTGTTTGTTCCTTCTTTCCCACCCAATACCTATTGTCGTTATCTCTCTTGTTTTTGTTGTTGTTGTATGTTACTATCTAATAACAATTCTAATATAAATAAATTTCTACTGATTGTGCCAGTGTATATCTGGTTGACCCCCCCGGGGCAGTGCCACTGACTGAAGTGTCTTTAGACCATTCCCAAAGGGCGGACATTTCTCGTTCAAGCACAGTAGAATTGTAAATGGGCTGACTCATGTCACGCTCATAACTGTGCCTGAACTACAACAGAGAACTGCTGCTTTTTCTTTCCTGATCCTTACTATTGTCATTTTCCTCTACTTCTTCTGTATGTTTGTCGCACTCTTGTGACCTGCTATTTCCGGGGTGCCTTGATAGTTGAAGCAGACTTTGTGCTGTTGAAGCTAGAGAGGTGAGCAGAGTAAGTCTGATTCCCTGTAAAGACTTCTCTGTTGACACCCACCCCTTGGCGCTCATATGACCTTATGCAGTTGCGAGTGCCGTAAAACCCTGTACTATAAAAAAAAAAAATCTGGTTGAACAATCAGTAGAAAGATCCTCAGCGACATTTTGGAGAGAGAGCAACGGAGCATCAATGGACTTGTCCGAAATGCAGGGATGTTGCTTCCTGAAACAATGAATAATGAACAATTCTAATCTTCAGCACTTAAATTAAGTTATATGACCTAATTGTGTTGAGACTGCTGTAAAACTCCTACTAAAATTGAAGAACAATGGTAGAAGGTGAGGTGAAAGGAGAAGATTTTTAGAGAAGAAATTTTTGTGTTTGTCGTTGTCACGTTTCAGACCTGCGACCTATTGAATGAGAGGTGAACACCGTAGCTCTAGATCACGAGAGGCCCACCCCCTGATGACCAGTTTTTGTGTTGCAAATGCCGCAAAACTCTTCTGTGTGTGGTTGGCGGGTGCTCTGGTGTGGTTTGCTCCTTCTTTCCTATCAAACATCTGTCGTCCGTATCTCCTTCTATTTTCTGTTTGTTACTCTTTTGCAACACCTCTAATCTTCAGCGCTCATATGACCTTATTGTGTTGCAAATGCCGTAAAACTCTTGCTAAAAAACCCAAAAAAAACTCTTCTCACGCAAACGAATCTTTGTTTCAGGGAGGATCGATCTAAAGGGTCTGGGGCACCCCAAGCTGGCACAGCAGTACAGCACGCCAGATATGTCGCAAAAACTGGATTTTATGAGGTTGCAAGCGCAGGTGAGAAAGTCATGAAAACGTCGTCTATTTATAGAGTGTGTTAATACAGTCTGTTGTACGTCGAAACAATCCCGGTGTTCATTCGTTTATGGTGTGTGGGTTGTTGGCGGGTGCTCTGGTGTGGTGTGCTCCTTCTTCCCTATTGAACATCTATCGTCCTTATCTCTCCTCCTTCTTTTTTTGTGTTTGTTACTACTCTCTTGTAACACCTCTAATCTTCGGCACTAATATGTCCTTAATTGTGTTTCAAGTGCCGTAAAACACTTACTGAAACTAAACTGGTTTATGGTGTGTGAGTTGCTTAGTTTGTGAGCAAGGGTTGCACCTTGTAGTAAGTTTGGAATTAGAATAACTCACACTCTTACATCTTGTCTGTGTGTGTGTTTGTCTATTTTTTTGTTTGTTTGTATGTCTGTCTTTGTGTTGGTTTGCCTGTATGTCAGTTTGTCTGTGTTTTTGTGTGTTCGTTTGTCTGCGTACATGTCTATTTCTCTCTCCTTCCTTTCTCTCTTTTCTCTCGTTCGGTGTTCTTCTCTGTCTGTCTATCTCTGCCTGTCTCTGTCTTTTAGTCTCTTTCTATCTCTCTCTCTCTTTCTCTCTCTCTCACTTTGTCTTTCTAGTCTCTCTCTCTCTCTTTCTTTCTTTCTGTATGTCTTGATCTGTCTCTCT